AGAGGAAAGCACAGAGCCAGAGTGTGCTGGAGGAAACTTGTGAGTGAGTCGACTGAACTGGAGAGTGGAGAGAACAAAAGCGACGACATAGTGGCAGGGCAGAGAGATACAGGAGATGGGGTCAGAGGCAAGGAGTGAAATGCAACGTGCGTCATAAATGTTTTAAGTACAAAATTTCATGTGATACTCGAGCATTACATAAGTTGAGTCGTATTTACTGATAGTTCCTTTATGAAAAATAATCATTATAATGATAATTAAGATATTTATTAAGCTTGTAATCTTACAAAAAGAACTCCTACTTATTATAAACATTTATAAAACTTTCATACAGATTATAAGTATAGAAAATGTCTTATTATTATATTATATAATAGATATAAGTCTTTCTCTTCAAATATAATACTATTATAATACTTTTACTCTTTATATATTACTGATAGAGCCTTTATAAGAACATATAAGACTGATTTTTACCTTATAATAGAGTTAAATACAGATAATTACTATATATTCTATATATTAAACATATTGCACTTTATAATAACTATAAGATCATATATAGATTTTGACTTTTTCCTGACGTGCTTATCATACAATTACTTCATATAGTCAGATTGTTTTCCTCACACTAGCAAGTCCAACAACTGCACATTTATTCTGGTTGAAAGGCAGGTACTCACAGTGCTATCAAGCACATTTCCATATAATAGACATGGCACTAATGCTCACAAGCTTGTTGAATTCTTTTGGTGTTCTTAATCTTCATGTACTACAACAAACGGATAAACTCTGAGTTTATGGGTGACTTTATGTCACATTGCAGCATAATACAAATCAAGAGAAGAAATGAGTTTATCTAGGATACATTACAAGAGTTTTACATTACATACAGAGGATTACATATCTATTAAGAAGCGAAGTCCTCTTGACTGAGTTGTATGTATTCGATGAACGCCTCTGGTCTATGCCTAAGGAAGAAAGAGTTCTTCAGCTTGGACCTATGTACTCCAACCGGATCTTACCATGCTGTACCGAGAGAGATGTTCCTCGGTAGATCGCGTTGACGAGGAAGGGTGGATACAGTAGGATTATCTGCTAAAAAAGGTTCAAAGTCTAACTTATAGCACGTAAATAGGTACAAGACACGCGGAAGCTGCATTTGACGATGTCCAAACGCATGGCTATGAGGAGGGACAACTGGCGCAATCCGCGGCGGACGGTTGAACACTGGTGGTGCAGTAACACTCCAGTCATGTACTTTGTATATCTGCCCAGAGACTGCTTTGGTAACTGTAAAGATACGTAAGAAACGTATCTGCAACAAGACAAGTTGGCACATGTACTTAGAATCAGTTCATGAGGACGGATGTCTAGTTTCGCCACGTGATTTTCTGCTCGTTGCTGCAAATAACGCCAAGCTTCGCTAGCAGACGCGATACGAGCAGAGTGCCGAACGTGGACCTCCATTTCTGTACCTGGGTTCAGGGCTACAGGCCAACTTGAATAACGATTCAGAATCATGGGTAGAGAGGATGCAAGACGTGGAAACACACACACCCTTCAACGTCTCCGGGAAGTGCGAAGGGCCAAATTTCATTTGTCTTGTGGAATCCATTGATCCATTGACCATGCGAGCCAGTAACCTCTCTTACGATGCTTAATAAGAGAGAGCCGTCCGTCTCAGGTGTTCCATCAGTAAGGTCATCGAAGACATTTCCCACCTTGACAAAGTGATCGAAACGTGCCTTGTCTGTAAGGCATATGCGTCCATGGTCATGAGGAATATATCCAAAGTCGCCAACGGTAAAAGTGACAGGGGACGAATGTACATTCGTCCCCCAGGCGAAATCATGCGTTCCCGCGCGTATGCTGCGGCTACGCACTGACCGCAAAGAGATTGAGTCCAATTCTTTTTCGAATTCAATGTCCTCTAACAATGCTTCGGAGTGATTTCCTAGTTTCGGCTCTTGGTCACTTCTAGGGAGTAAGGCACGTGCAAGCATCCTGATATGTGTGAGTTTGTCCTGTAGATCAACGATGTCTGTAAGGGTGAGTTAGTTGTTAGACAAAGCATACAATTTAAATGCCAATACCTGATCTATGGGACAGGTGATCATCAGTCAAGGTCTTGCTGCTTGGAAGAATCTGACCAGGGATTCGTTTCTGCATTCATCCCTAAGAAGTTCTATTGTCCTCACCTGCATGGTTGTACTAAGCAGAGACTCCGTTAGAGGATATCCAAAACCCCAAGTAGAGTTAGTTGGCGGTGGGATGCCAACAATTATCTTTCCACATTGTGTATCAGCCTTGTAGCTTGCTTCCTTGAGAATAGTCAGCTAAGAGTATGGCTCGAAATTCGTTAACCTTTACCGCAATAAATTGTTGTGTCTCGCGGTCATCCAGCGAGAGCTGCTTCTGTATATATAAAGCTGCAGACTGGACATACAAAAAGTTGTCCTGACCCGTGAGATTGCGAGATTGTCAGATAAAAGTCACTCACTGAAATGTCTCGATACTGAATCGGGTCAGTTTTGATAGGCACATCTCAAAGAAAGGCTACTCACTATTTTCACTGCAGCGACTGCGCCTTCCGCGATGCTCATTCTTTGAAGAGATCTAAGGAAGTATGCACTTGGATCACGAAGTTTCGCTGAGATAGACGTATGTGAGTTTTCCGCTTGACGGTGATCAGAAATGTCGACCGCGTACTTTGAGAAAGAACGATGAATGGAATTGGAGACTTCTCGTTAGAATATCCCGTTAGTTGCGGTAAATTGGGATGGCTATGTGAATAATTAATGTGATTAGTTAACAAGCGATTGTGGACAAATTACTTACTAAAGATTGCGCAGCGTCTTGATATCATGCAACCATCTCTAAGTAGAACGTCAATAATGCATTTAGGGAACGAATTACTCTAAATCTACCTTCAAGTTGGTTTTTTTGCCCTCGACCTCGTTGTTGTACCTTTTAATCATAACTCGTTTATCTCCAGCACTTGCAATCATCGACTGTCCCCAGAAGGAGTAAGACTCATCAGATTTAAGTTCGGATAATGGAAGAAGATCTTTTTGGTGATATTGTGTGAGCTGGATTGTCTGAGTGTCAACAAAGAACAAAGCTTATGGAAGAGGACAGTTATACTCCGAGTCGCTCGAGCTCATTCAGCTCCTGCTGCAATTGGATTTCTTCAGCGTCACCATCTGACTCTCCGTCCGGGATGTCTTCCGTTACAGCTGTCGAATTGATTGGAAAAATAAGCTCGGTCGAGTGTTTTCTATCTATGCTGGCACTCGGTTTAACATTACAGTCATTCCGGCAAACGTTATCAATAGCCAGTGTCTTGGCGAGCGTATCAGCTAAGATGCTCTCGTCCCGAATCTCTCCAGTTGGACTTTCCACGTAGGTGATGGCCCGACCTGCACTACGCTCTTGTAATATTCCAACAGAATAGTGGATTTCCAAGAGGCTGGCTATCTGCAGGAGTATTAGGTAAAGGAACTGCACAACGAAAGCAAGATATACCTGGAATGACTTCTCTGCTTCATCGAGTAATGCATGGAAGTCACTCAAGGATGCCTCGATCGAGCCTTTATGAAGGAAGCGATTCATCCAATTGACTGCTTTTAATCCCTGCATGAAATCCCGAATGCACACCAAAACCCTGTTTCATAGGTAATATCAGCAACCTAGGACAAGCAATAATTTGATATTGGAGTTCCAACCTTTCAAAATCATGGATATTATTGACAAGGGCTTTGGGTGCAGTATCCCATCTTCCCGCCATGTGAGTATTCAAATCAACCAGAATTTTTGCCGAGCGACGAGCGAGCTTGTAACAGGTAATCTTGTTGTTATCGATTTCTTGCACCGTCTTCAAGATGACAAGAACTACAGATGCGGCCGCGCGAGCAGGAATGCACTGTGCCATGTCTGCTACATTTGCAATAATCGAAGCTATCGAAGTGGCGCCAACCAAGGCATCCGTCGAGTTGACGCGCTTTTTCACTATCTTGAATTTCGACATCTTCGCGTTCCGTCAGAGCCACTAGAAAGGTTTCAGAAGAGAATAGCTGTTTAGCCTTATTGGTGGTGTTGAAGGAGACAAATGGTTTCTCTTTATTTTCTTGCAGAGTGGCATTTTTAAGGCACTGGATCAAGATCATGATTTTCAACGTTTGATAGATCGTTCCTTTGGTTACCTAATTATGCGTGGGAGACAAACAATAGTCAACACCATGTTCCGTTCTTCACATTGAATCACAACTGTAGACATCCTTAAATCTGTAACTGAATGTCCAACCTTAACGAGGAATCCGACAACATAAAGAAGTTTCGCTTGTGGTTTTCCAGTAGTGGAGGATGGATCCATCAGGACATTAACTTCTCTACTGGTAAGCAAAGCACTCGTGCGTGAAGTAAATCTACATCATCGCTCATCTTACAAAATTAGAATCTTCTGGTCTGACTGGTAGAGTTCGTCATGCATTGCAATCCGACGTGGCTGTCTCGTCATGTCCCTTCTCTCTGGCGATTACACTTGACACTATACAAAACTCGCTCGAATCACTTTGCGGCCTGTCCTCTGGACGGTCCAGCGTTCTATCACCGAAGCAGCGCATTTGTGCATATGTAGGACTCCATTATATCATACCGGAGGCAGAGGATGAAAAGTGATTAGTTGCACTCGTGCTCATCATTCGTACCCGTCCTGAGCAGTCACCTGTCTCTTAAGACGCCTTCTACAACACCGTCCATACATCAGTGTTCTGCCACAGGCGGAAAGCATGCTCACACCAATAACATTCTCGGATGCGGAGCTCGAGATATTCAAAGGAACGAATCTATTCGGGGCAATAATAGATAAGCGCAATACATGGAGGGATGAACATAGGCAACTTCTAGATCTCCTAATTGAAAGTGCACCGAACATCGCAAAGAAGTTTAGCTTGTGGGTGATTTACTAATCGTTAAATCTTAGCGCGTCTAATTTGACTCTTTAGGGACATGTATAAGTTGGCCGACACGTACATCTCTTCGCGAGCTTTCCCATCTACTCTTTTGTCTCGTGAACCGTCCCTTGTCGCGTCACCCGAGTCGTACCCCGTGCTTCTTCCAGGGCTTGACCTCTTCAATCATAAACGTGGTCAACCTGTTTCCTGGGGTATTTCACTTGTAGAACGTCCGGTTTCTCCTATCTTAAGCGGTTCCAGCGCATCAAACTCAACAGACGCAGAGTTATGTGTCTCGCTGATCATTAATACTCCGATAGCGGAGGGAGAAGAGGTCTTCAATAATTATGGTCCGAAACCCAACTCATCGCTCATCCTCGGCTACGGTTTCGCTATACCCGATAATCCCGATGACACCATTATACTTAAAATTGGGTCGAACATTGATGGCACTGGAAGCCAAGCAAGCTCTGGACACGAGTTAGGGCGCGAGGCAAACGGCGCCGAGGCTGTCTGGAATGATGTTATGCTGATCGTCGCAGCTGGATACGTAGCGGACGAGAACTTCGAGGCTAGTTTCGATATAGAAAATGATCCGACACTCAGCGTTGAGATAGATATGGAGACAGCGGAAACGTTGTCCGAAATGGTCTCATCTCTACTTGAACGCCTTCCAGTCCTGCCTGTAGAAGGAGCGCCACCGCCATCCGTGCGCAGCGAAGTCGTTTATATGTGGAAATGCTACGTACGGGGACAGAAAGATATCCTCGAGGCGTTTCTCAATTGGTTAGAAAGCAAAGAGCAGGAAACTATTAGAAAGGCCGAAGAGCTCGGGATTAATGTTCTTAGAGAGGACTCAGATGACGAATAGATGCTTCGGATGAACAAACTTTTCATCGAAAAATGCTCTTTAGGTAGGTGTGCTATATTACTACTATTACATTGAACTGCTGAAGAAGCAGTCTATCACCGGGAGCTAGACAATCCGCTTTCGCCGGAACCATCTTCTTAATATCCTTCTATTGGGATGACCGTCTGATATGGAACCGGCCCATTAATGTGCATACTTTCTACTTTGTACGTACCACCCGACTTCAGAGCATGGGCCTTCATATGCTCAACCTCCGCAACGATCATCGCATCCTTTCCTGCACGTGTACGTGGGGTAAAGCGGCGGCGTTTGCTCGTGATCTTCCAATCCTTGATTGCTGACTTGTCAATGCCGTTCTCCTCCAGCGCACGAAGGACGACGAGCTCAGTAAGCGACTAGAAGTGCAGAAGGGTATAAAAAAGAGAGAAGTCAGACTCGCTGATAGGCACCAAATTTTTAGACTGTTCGTTCCGTACATAGTCCTGCGGGTTCTCGCGTGTGAAGCAGAGTGGCTCCTTCAACGTAACCGGAGGATTTGTGATAAACCGGGGGATGCGGAGGTAGTTCTTCGAAGCAGAGTGAGGCTGGAGGAAGTCGGGCGGAATAAATATTTAATGCGTAATAAGTCACCGACAGAAGCTCACCATGAATGGATGGAAGATAATCATATCACCAGCTTTTCCTGTACACTGTAAATGAAATGGTCGTTAAGAAGATTTGTGCATACAAACAATGTGTTATGTCTCGTCTGGGTTGGTCTTACCTCGACAAATTCTTGACATTCATGAATACCGCACACGGTTTGCGCCCCAGTTTCATTAACAGTCCAGCTATCCGCCCCTTCTGGATGTTCATACAACCTAAATTAAAAAAGAGCGGTCAGCCGAACGTTCGTTGCACGAAGATGCGTCGGAACGAAGAACTTCGGTGAGGTCTGCTGACCCCGACTTGTCGGAGGTCCAAGTTGATCGGCGATGAGTAGCACACATACTTACCATTTTACGACGTTCTTTACGCCATCGGGGCAAAGGAACGTACCTCCAGCACGCGGAATGATATCGTTGAAAAGAACAATGACTGTGAGAGCTTGTTCTCCCGAGTCTAAGAAATGTGTGAACCTAAGTAGCCAAGGCTTCAGTGTAAATGTTAAAGAAACCGAGTCCTGTGAAAGTCTCGTACCAATCGCCGTCTCTGTGGGTTGTTCGCTCAAGTTAGTATAGATCCGCAAGCAGGAGAGGAAAGAAGACGGCTTGCATGTGCCAATTACCGAGCAAACGTGGGTCGAGAGACTCCTTCTGATAGTGATGAGAGGTGAGTCAGGCGCACAGCGGAATATCCTTGAATACAGCATAACGCACAGTCTCCCACTCCGGACTTCCAAGGTTACATATCAGACTGTCGCCAAAACTCTCGAATAGAGTAGGGTCAATTCGCTCTTCACCTCCGAGAATCTCGCCTGTGTTAAATGGTTAATAGCCAGGTGATCACTGACAGCTGACGGACAACTCACAGATGGCGGCCCAGCCCCTCGGTGAAAACTCTTTCATCGGCACTTCTCTGTGGCGGGGCATATGGATCTGAGCATTTCACAGCCGAAAGAGGGAGAACTCGTCAGCCCAGTAGCCTTGGTATCTCATGAAATTTGCATACCTTCTCCTTGTCCCATGTCGATTTGTTGTTAGGGTCATAACCCAAGCGAATCCAGACATCATCGGAGAACCGTTTAATATTTTCCGCTGAAATCGCATTTTCAATCTTTATCCAGCCCTTCTCAAGGAAATGCTGACGCATTTCCGGAGTCATCACTTTGTAATCTTTGATGGCCATCGCAGAATAGAAGAAACAGAGTATCAAGATGATGGTTTGCAGAAGAATTCAAAGACGTTGGGCCTGGGACATGCCGCTTACTACCGGCTCGATATGCACACACGGACGGTATAACGTATGATCGTCAAAATCTCGGAAGAGGCTTGCAGTCACAGGAATGCGATCATCTGACCGCGATCGCTGAGTGCACAAATAGAGTAGAAGTACTTCACCAATATGACAGACTCTGAGGAAATTGATTTGGCCGGGAATAGAAACATGATTGCGGGGGCACGTGTATGTAGCACGGGGTACATCTGAAATAGAGAAACAGAATCGGTTGATACATCGTTGCCCTTGCATCTGTATCTGAAGAATCCTTTGAAACGTCGGAGTACGAAGACGGGAAGGCTGATACGGAAGATTGAGCGAGCCGTTTGTGAGATGGGCACGCGGAGAGGCAGCTGATTCGTCGGATTCGTAAAGCCCACACTTGCGGATGAGGGAAGAAACCCACCTCACCACGGACTGAATAGTATAGAACAACCAGAAGTGGAGTCATGTGCACGCTAAGTTATTGGGGAGGAGCCAAAGACTGATGAGCCCCAGTATTTCTGAGGATATGAATGGATAAAGTGTCAAATGACCACGAGAGAAAAGACGCTCAGTGACTTGGCTTGATCTGTAGACGAAAACCTGACAAATGCAGCAACAGATCATGTCAGACATGCAATCTCATCCTGCAAGACTGACGAGATATGAGGTTATGATTGGTTCAGTGGAGAAACGCATTCTCCAGTGGTATGGCGAGGTTCGATGAATTGATTCCGTAATCGCACGTGCTGAATTCATGGTAGCACGTGCGACTTCACAGAGAATCCTCGGACGCACGATCTCTGTGGAACTTCGACTGGACGAGTATTTGGCGGAACTCAGGAAAGTGGGGGACCACCAGGGCATTATCCGCTGCACCTGACTGCTCAAGAAGCGAAATAACCAAAGAGGCGAAAACCTGCTTCTTGTCCGCTAACCACTTCTAGCTTCTCATCCTTATCGCGCCTCCATTCAACAGCCCGCCGACATATTGCGCCCCTAACTGATCTCTGACCTATAGAACCGCAATGAAATTCTTATTCCGGCACACAGGAAAAGGTCAACTTCCCCGTCCGTTGCAAACGCGCTCTTTGTCTTGTGCTCATCCTTCGCGTAGATGCTTGGGTTTTTGACGTGATGCTTCCAAGAAAACGGAAATACTTCCGGCAAGGGCCTGTACCTAACTATCGTCAGCTAATGCGTAAAAAGCTGTGTCACGCAAAGCCGGAGCGATATCACCTTCTGCCGACATCGGAATCCCTATATAAGGTGTCATTTTTCAATAGCACTCCACTCCGTAGCCCACCGTCCCTCCCGTCCCAAGTCCTCTCGGGCCTATTGAACGCCAGACTCTGAATATGTGCCGCTATATTGCGTCAGTGTTACTCCTTATGCAAACGTTGGCAGTCATGCTGACACTCTCTGTCCGAGCAGTGACGGCCGCTCATACCAAAAGTGTGGAGTGCGCCGACCTTGCTAAATACTCGAAGCCCATTGTCCGCTGACTCTGACGGTACTAGCATTTTGTTCGTCTACACGTTGTAGCTATGCTTGACTGTGGCTCACGCCGATGCGAACGGAGCATACAACACCCGCAGTCATGCAAAAGTAAGTCATGTACTAGTGTGCGTCTAACCCGTTTTTGTTCTTCTCTGTGGATGTGGTGCTGATAACTGTCTACACAGCACCTTGGCCCTGAAATTCAGCGGCCGGTTGTAACCTACGATGAATACTGCTGGGCATGCCAGTCTACAGGGCGCGCCGCAGTAGCAAGTAGCACTGCATGAGTGCTAATGATTTTGATAACTCCCTTCGGCGAACTGGATCCTTATCAAAACGACTTCGTTACCCGAGAAGATGACTTTTGGGTATCGCTACTGCTGCGACCGCATGCCGGACTTACGTATGTCCACCTTAGGCATTTCCGCGTCCGCATTTCTACGACAGACAGACTCACCTCGACGAGCATCCTCTTTCACTTGTTTATTCCCCGCCCCGACATTCTGAACTTCTTCCGTATCCATCCGACTTTCAGCTTTCTCTTTACTCGTATCTCGTGTGCTCTCCGTGACGCTTTTTCTCCGCTTATAATGCAATACCCGTCCACTCATCTGTATTATTTTGAATAGTATACATACCATCCTGTAGTCGTAGCTTGATGTAGATTAGGGTTGAGCCCTACTCCATCGTGTTTTGTGCAAGTGCAATGATTATTTGCAAAATTTATTTCCTCAGAAGCAGGTTCTCGGCGGTCCTGAGTTGTGTGGCTTGCTGTAGCGACACGAATGTCTAAAAGCAGCTCTATCTGCGATCATCGATGAGGCAAAGAGAGATGGAAGTCCGAGTCCGACTGCTGCGATTCCGACACTTGGCTTTTGCTTCGCACGTCCGGACCGGTGCGGTACTCGCGAGCCGTTTTTGGCCATTGATCGGAGAAAGAATCAGTCTCATCGTGCCTACCGATGACCAAGATCCACATTTACGAAAGAGACGACACTTACAAGAGCAAGATAAGAATGAATATGACTTATGCAAGTATAGATTCGAGTGAACTTTCTGTTACTCATTCTTTTGAACATCGCTGATGAAGGACCCTCTTAAACTTACATAAATTCCATGAACTATAGATAAGCACATAAACTCAAGCCTGCCTGCATGGTGTGCTGACTCAGAAGGCGGATAATCTTTGTGAGAGAGCCTTGCGTGCTGCAAAGTTCTGAGATCTGGAAGTAGGTCATCAAGGCATATGGAAGCACACAGACCGCGCACGTTCGGCTGCGTAAAAGACCTGGATCAGTGTATGCTCTGTATAAAAAGATGTCTCGGTACCTTATGACCTCATAGATCTGGAACTTTCAATGCGTTCTTCCTTCTCCTTTCGGTGTTCAAACTTTCGCTTTGGCACCAGTGAATGGAAAGTTTAGCCAGCTCTTATCAGAGAGTCTTCTAGTAATTGTATCGGATATGGATATCATTGCCAATTCAAACCTAAGTCTCTGAGTCCGAGGGTGGTAATGCCATTACCTTTGCGGTGCATCACTGCATTGATTATTCGGGCAATATCGGCAAAAGAATATCTTCGACTTCGATATCTTCATAACTGAAGAACAGTCTTCCTTGTATGAGTAGAAGTTATTCCGAATTCAATTTTCTCTTAGAGATAAGAGGTACGTGTTCATGTACGTGTTCCGAATCTCAAGGCGCGGATATGAGTCGAAGTAAGACAAGACCGAGGACATCTAGGTCAGGAATCGATGTGCAGACAACGAGTACGCGCATGCCGTCCTGCTTCTCGCTTCTCAGTGACGCATGCTTCGCACTTTGCCCACGGAATCGGAGAAGGGACGGCACCTCCCGTCTCCGCACGGTTAAACGGAGGAGCAGGTACGTTTAACCACAAGACCTCACCAGCTGGTAGAGTACCACCTGCTACCAGTGTATGTAAATAGAAATCACAAACGTTAAATGAGCACTAGATACAGAAAAACGAACGAACGTGCGTGTAGCTGTGTGGAGTGTGCAGGTAATGCTCAAAGCAATGTACCGTTTCCCCGACTGCTCTCCAGTATGAACAGTCTCTACTTTCTGCAATATTGATTCTATTACTTCCGATGAGAGAAGCAGTAAAACTAGCTGAAGGAAGTAGTGGAGAACGAATTAGAACACACGAGCTCTTCGCACTTAGAACATATGTTTGATATCGAGACAACATTTGGGGAAAGGAAAATACCACGCCAGGACTTCTCGGAACTCGTCTTATCTACCATGTCTTCAACATCTGTTCGTTCAGACTGCTTGCAGTCTAGAAGAAGTAGAATAGCAGATCCTCTGGAAACGTTATTTCCAGTCTAAATAGTTGAGGAATTCAAAGGAAGGCAAAGTTACGTGCGTTGTAAGAATCAAGAGAGTTGTTGATTTGACTGAGTTTGATCTCAGATGACAAAGCGCACTAATCACGTGCCGTTCATGTGATCGTTCAGACCCCATCGTTTAATTTGAGACGCGGCTCAATTCAACGAGGCGGAGCCTTGACTCTGCGTTAAAGGCAACAATGGGTGTCCCAGGACTGTGGGATGTAAGCAGGTTTATTGTCGCATTTTATCTGACTGACAGTAACTTAGATTCTGCGACCGGCGGGAAAGCAACGATCTCTTACGCAACTTGCTGTCCAGGACGGGTTTGAGCGAAATCCAGGCGGACGACGTGGTTTGCGTGTTGGAATCGATGCCAGTATCTGGTTTTATCATGCCACGTATGGTCGTGAGGGAGAAAATCCCGAATTGCGAACCCTCTTCTTCCGATGTGCAAGACTTATGAGCCGACCATTTCTTCCACTCTTCGTCTTTGACGGACCTCGTCGACCGGAACTCAAACGTAAGAAGAAGATAAGCGGGAAGGATCACTGGATGGTCTCTGGTATGCAGGAGATCATTGAAGCTTTTGGATTTGAGTGGTGGTGTGCTCCTGGTGAGGCTGAAGCGGAGCTAGCCTATTTGAATAGGATTGGTGTCATTGACGCAATTATCACGGACGATGTTGATACATTCGTCTTCGGAGCTACTATGATTATGCGAAAGTATGTCTGAGTACCTTATACACGACGAACCATGCTGACTTGTTTGTAGTCCGGGCAAGATGCTTTCAGGAAACACGTCACATCCTATCAAAAACACAGCCGGAAAGGATGACGGCGAGCACACTTATACATACACTTCTTCCGATATTTTAGAACACGCAGAAGTCGGTATTACACGGGGCGGTCTCATACTGATAGCCCTCCTTCGAGGTGGTGACTATGACCCCGAGGGAATTGATGGCTTTGGCGCGAACATCGCCCACGCTCTCGCTAGGTGTGGCTTCGGGGACACACTTGTAGAAGCTGTCCGCGACCTGCCTTCGTCACGGCTTCCAGACTTTCTCGATAATTGGCGCACAGAAATACGAGCAGAACTTCGCTCAAACTCTCGAGGCTTCCTAAATTCCAAGAAAGCGAAACTAGCAAAATCATTACCAGATACATTCCCGAACATCGAAGTTCTTCGGTTGTACACGAATCCAGAGACCTCTGAGCGCAAGAACAAGCGTCCTACATTTCTTTGGGGTCGAGAGCCAGACTTAATGAAGCTTTCTGCTCTCTGCGAGCGTAAGTTCGAATGGGGAGTACGAGAAATTATCGTCAAGCGTTTCCGGACTGTTATGTGGGTACCAATTGTGCTGCGTATCATGCGACGCGCTGTTTTGGATACAGATGCTGCTGGTCCTTCAACCCCAAGCAAGAAAAGGATACAAGCCGACGAGATAGAGCCTCCTGGGACTCCATCGCGGATGATTACAAGGCAATTTTCGTCGCTCGCAGAGGCAGATGAGGACGATTCACAACGCTTAATCGTAGGGATTCGCGGGAAGCGGAAGCACGCATCTACAGATGGTCTATTAGAATACCGTCTTGAAATTGCTCCTGCACAGCTCGTTCGATTAACGGAAGCTGGTGTCCAGGGCCATCGTATTCCACCGAGTCAATACAGAGAAGACTCAGATGAAGATGAGGACATAGATGGCGAAGATGAAGTGCCTCTTGGAGCTAGGCGAAAGAAAGGCGAGCCGAAGAAACTACCGCCAGCGCCAGACAGTCATTTACGTGTATGGATGCCGGCATGTATAGTTGAACGTGTCGAGCCGGCAATGGTTGCCTCCTATGAAGACCGCGTTGCACAAAAAGCACGCGAAAAGAAGAGTAAGGAGGCAAGGAAGGCGGCAAAGCTAGCTAATGGAGTAGATACGATTCCGAAGGCTAAAGGCAAAGCGTCAGCATCGAGTTCAAGGACGAAAGTAGCCACTATAAGGAAAGCTACAGCGCATGAAGAAGAGGAAGAGGAGCTATCAGCAGGAGAGGATTATAGCCACGTGTTTGGTCTTCCCAGTAAAGGAAAAGGCAAGGCTAGCCGTACTGCGAGAACGTGGAGCAGAGTGAAGACTACACCTGTATTCCGCGTTCACGAAGAAGAGGAAGAAGAGGATGAGAGTGAGAATGACGCATTCCCCCCAAAGCCGAATCCGACGGGTAACACAGCCCCACTCTCAGAAGCGACGAATTTCCCTCTCAGCCCGGCCAATCTAAGACTGAAGACTGTTTTCTCGAAGGCAGCGACAGGTTCACATTCGACGCAAGGACACTCTTCTTTGTTGTCATTCGTAGAATCACCAAAAGGCAAGACTATTTTGGACCTGCTTGACGAACATCAGCATACAGAAACGGCGAGATCATCCACAACGTCAGCGCTATCGTCACAAGAAGCTCCCTCCTCTTCTCAACCGGTGCATTCTTTTATACCCGAGCCATTCCCTATGTCATTAAAGGACAGTGACGACGAGGTTAAGAGGTGTGACCTAGACCGTAACGCTCCGACTTCTCGGAAAGGAGGTTCCGGGAAGGGCATTGCACGACATTATTCCAACCTTTCAGACTCGGATGACTTCCTTCTGTCACTTCGCTCAAGCCCGAAGAAGTCACCTCGGAAGAATAAGAACGGATCGCCTCGTGGTATTCTGAGCGTAACCAGCAAGACCAGTTCTTCCAGAGATGTCTTTACTTCCGGGACTTCGATTGGAGCAGACATGCTCAAGAGTGGCACTGAGAATGAAGAGGAGTCTGATGTGGATATCAGGCCGGCATCTCCTTCGCCAGCCCGTAGAATCCCCCCGTCTCCGAATGACGTTAGCATGGAAATACTATACCCATCTCCCATTCCGCCTCGGAAAAAATCAGCCTCTGAACAGGCTGATACACAACCATCCCTCCTAGCGAAACCGGTCGACACAGGAGTCATCGAAATTTCTAGCAGTTCCGAGGACGAGGAGGATATGCCTTCAAGGCTACACTTACCACACAAGCAGCAGCGTCCCGCTAAGCCAACCGAGACGTCTATTAGGAAAGCGGCGATTAGAGTTGACTCATTCTTTTCTGTTGTCAAGCCGAGGACCGCTATTACCCAGAAGGCTACTACTAAGAAGACGCAATCAAAGGCGAACGGTAGCCGAAGACTGCCAAATGATCATGAAGACGAGATCATCGAAATTCTCTAAACTGGCATTGTATATTATTTGCAACAAGGTTTGGGTTATCTGTAGGAAGAATCTTATCAAATGTATCTTTTTATACGAATTTATATCTCGCATACCTTTATCATAACCGTCCATCATCGTTGATCATTGAGCGAGTTGACTAATAAATGCATGTGATAAGTTCTGTCGATCAAGCCGCCTGCCTAAAACGCGTAGCGTGTCAATGCACGTGATGCTGTGAGGTCATTAAAGATGCGTGACTCACAGATGCAAGTCGACACACAGAACCCTCATACTAAACCACCTAGGTCGTCGCGCTCAGCAACCAACTCGACCTTACTCACTCTACTCTTATCTGCCATACGGCCTTCCCCATGCTTAGTAAATTCATCGTCTGGAAGCAAGCTGTCGAAGAATGCCGTCCACGATGACAAACAACCCCAGTGTCCCGCAGAAATCCCTGCGTATTCTATCCCCTCCGCCTAGTGAAACACCTCCGCCTGCTATGTGCCATTCTGACTTTCAGTCTACGCGGAGGGAACCACGTCCGATACTCAAGAACAAGGGGCAGCCCTCGCACATTCCGAACGCCACGGTCATGGAAGACCCGATGGAAAGTGAATCGTATTTCCAAAGTCCCCTGCGGACGATTATTGCGTCCGCCGAAAAAGACAACGACGGAATGATATCGATGCATGATGTAATTGAAGCGTATCTTGTGCTATCCACCCGAATCGAAGCACAGGCTCACAACCTTGAAGATGATGCTCGCCCCGCTGTGGCGGCAGTCCGTAAGCTCCGATCCAGCTTGATATGCGCTGCTATCCGGAGGGACATGGCATACGCTATTTATGCGGGCAGTGAAGTAAATGGCGGACCGCCTGAACCTTCCCCTTGGACAGAAGAGGTCAAATGCCGTATCAGAGACCGATCGCACGTTTGCAATGCGTCACTGCGTTTTCTTGCAAATCTATTTACTTTTCCCTCTTTAAATCGTGCACTCAAGCGTAAGAAATTAAGCTTCTCCAATCGTTTACATTATCTAAATTTTATTTGCAGTTCACGAGTTGGCGTTAATGCTAAAAGAATTACTCGATGTCGGTTTATCCGACAACTTAATGACACTCAACCCTGAAATGACCTACAGCTATGTTATATGTATTCTTGCTCATCAGCGCCTGCCGGAAAGCGCTGTCCGCCCCCTCCGCTCTAAAATTGCTAACGTCATTGGACGAGCAGCGGTAGGGACACTGGGGGGAAACAAAACACATGGACCTCATATTTATGGCTTGCAGGCAATATACGCTAATGTTCATCGCAATGGGATCCTGTTTCTGCCGGAGTTCCATGTACTTTTCAAGGTCGCTCTTCAGAACTTGGTCTGTCCAGTTTCTCAATTCCGTGATCTCGCTGCAAATGCCCTGAGTGCGTTCGCTAATACCATCCTGCGCGACAAACCTGCTATGGAGGATCAGATCAAATTGTCCTCAGTCGTCAGCGCATTCATCGATAAGGAGTTGCAGCGCGCCAAAAACGTGCGTAAACGGGACCCGGACGTGTTCTTGCTGCAAGATTACCTCAAGCTAAGCGAAGATGATCCGTGTGTCACCCAGCGGATTGCTCGGTTGCTCAATATCACGTCCGCATTTCTGATACTGTCAGGGCCGCACGTATTCGAACGCCCCAACTCATTGAAGTTTCTTGTCAAAGCGATCGAGAAAACTCAGCCATTCCGACGTCGGGAATCGAATATGTTGCGATCTGCTACCTGGGCCTGTCTCGTCCGAGCGTATAGCCAACTTGCATCGTGGGATGTTCCAAGAAACTCTGAACTCGAAGAGAGCGCCTTACGCGTCATTTGCCAGGAGCATAGAGGTGATATTGGTATCTCCGTTATCGCGGTATTGCTTGAGCCGGTTCAATCGGGATTACGTTCTCTGGCACGAATCAAGGATGCTACTGACTATCTTTATCAATTGGGTCAATTGTCGGAGACACGTACTGTAGCAATCGCATTACTACGACGCCTGCTTGGAGGCGTCCTGAATGACGCTGATTCGGAGACATGTACTTGGACAGGTCCAGAATCGATTATTCCCGAATGGCTGTCGACTGGGTCGACTCTAGGAATGGAGCCAAAGAAATTGCGAAAGACCATGGAGCTTGCATCCGGAATAGATATTCATGCAGTGAAAATTCTAGAGGCTGGGGAGCTTATTTTTGCTTGGAAATCATTGATGGAAGTGTTCCAAGTCTGTTCTATTGGGTGGCTATTCGATAGGAAGGGACAGGGCTCGCTTCAGGTTTGTGAAATAATTCCATTTAGAGACAGCAAGCTGATACTTTCATATTAAGAATGATACGCTTATACTTTGGAGAGCACTCCTGAAAGTTCAGAGTGTCCTCGTCAGCGACTTCAGTCGTGATGACATTTCCAAACCGGTCCTGTCGTGCCTCGCGACAACCTTGACCGAAGTATTGGATGCGACGACAGCGAGATATCCTATTACACAAACGCAGGCGCTTATTGCAACGCATCAACTATGGGAATATGCATGTGATGAGCTTGGCGATTTGTGGGGTGCAGCCCTCGCGAGTTCAATCTACCGCCGGCTCCTCAAAAACTGTCAATACGACGCGGTTCTTAATGTAATGAGCAATGAATGGGTGCATCTATCGCGGCCGCTCATTTGCACCGCTCCCAAACGTACTCTGGATATTCTGCATGAATTAGAGGAAACTAGTACGCAACGAATCATATGGCTGGACATGGTTCGCTATGTTCGATATATGGAGCAACCGTCCCTGGAGGTCATGTCTAATCTGCTCTCATTCCCTATCCGGTACGCCTTAGTTGATTCATTCCTGTTGAAATGTCTAATTGCCTTGTAGGAATCCAAGTTCGCAAAGGGTGCTCAGAGATGAAACTGACTTTAGCTACTGGGAGATGCTATTCCTGCTCGCTCTGTCGCGCGAAGAGGCAGACATAGTCATTACGAGTGTAGCGAATGGACTTGATGTCGCGCTATCTTCAAAGTCGTGTTCTGAACTGCGATGTTTCTTCCTATCTACAATGACCCACGCGTGTCGTTCAAATGCCCTTCTGAACCTTCCCTTGCTCTCTGTGACCAGCGATTATTTAGAGGAAGCATACCCGCCGAAAGGCTGCGACGAGAACGAGATGACGGAGCTAATTCCATTTTTACGGGAAATCCTGCATGCTAAGCCCAGCCTTGACATTGTCAAAGCTTTAGCGAAGGGCCTTGTTCCCTGGCTCGAGGATAGGAAATGTTATATTTCAGACTCGATTTATAACAATGATGTAAGTCGGTTGATTTGGAACAACAACCGTTTTCTGAATTCTGATTCCCGGCTCTAGATTTTACCTCTCTATTGTGACGTTCTCCACGCTATCCGTCACATATCACCTCTTGAAGATGCTATTGTAGACTTAGCGAGGTTCCTCGCAGCTCCTTTCTGCAGAAGCCGCATCCCCGAGCCTGCAATCGGACCTGTTGGCTTTAAAGAATTCTGGGACTCTGTCGGTCCTGGGCTTAATTTCAACTCTGAAACATTTCCGTCTGTTCTTGCAGATTGCGTGGTTTCCCTAGCTAATGCATACGGTGGATTCGTTCCTGATTGGCTTGAGAGCCAACTTGATAGTGTGACACATTCATCGGTAAGAGCATTTAGTATCTTTTGATCGAATACATTTTTATACGTCTGAACCGTTGATAGGAACCCGATGATGTTGTCCCTCCGTCTGTTGAAGACCTTGAATCATCCGATATTTCTCCTCGTGCTACAAAGCGAACTTGGAAGGACATTCCTATTTCTGGTGCGGCCCGGGCCGACAGCAATAATGTTAAAGCTACCACGGAGGATGACTCCGAGGTACCGGTAATCTCTCCAAGTCTTGGAATGCCGAGTCCACTGTTTGCACGTCATAGACGGGGTGACGCAACGGCCACGCCTACCACACCTCCGAACTGTGAGTTCTGAATTGTTTACACAACGTAACTATTCTCATTAACGTTTCGCGATTAGCTAAAAGAGCTGGGAAGAAACGAAAGCTACGCCAGTCCAAACCCAACAAGGAAGACGAGGCTGGTCGAATTCCTGGTTCTGTGGGTCTATTGCAGGAGCCAGATTTGCCAGAGGCTCATATGTCATCGGTCGATTATGAATCAGGGGAAGGTAGGGTCTTGTCGCAAGATGTCCGCGAGTTTATACAGCATGATGTTAAAGAGGCTCGACTGCACCGCTCTCCCTCTCCGAATATTGAAGATGATTACCCTAGTGACGCAACAGAGACACCGGAGAGGGTCCGGACCCGCAGAGGTATGCTTCAAAAGACATACTTGGTACTATTCACCGTTGACAGAAATATATTCTAGCATGGCGAAAGCAAGAATGTGACACGAATCGTTCGCGTACTGCACCAGCGTCGTTGCAAGCGTCCTCGGAAGGTCGACAAGGAACAACCGACGATTCTATCTCTGGTCATCACCTTAATAATCCAAAGTTACGTCGAACGCACACGACGACTGAAGTCCCACTAGACGCCCTGGAGAAATTACACGCTCATCTATCGACTGACGCTGACGAGATGAAGACACAAGACCTTGCACATGCAACTAAGCTGACTTACAATGTATTGGGAATATTGAATGAGAAGATGTCAGAGAAATTAGAGAGTCGGAAATAAGCATCTGTATATCAGTCTTTTTTACATACTAACTCTGTAACGGTATCAGTGGCTCTTGTAAACTTTGTAGCCCTAGCACATTGTAACACCGACCCAAGAGGAATGAATACACTTTTGTACTAAAGACTTGAGCAATGCCGAACTGTGAAGGACTCAAGAACTGCCCGGAGAGGTCCTGGCATTCGAAATTCGGAGCATAACTTTCGATGTTGAACAAGCCTGTCAGGCAAAAGCGAGAGTGCGCGGTCCAGGACAGGATTCTCGATATTGCGTCGCGGCAAGCACAATCAGATAACGGTCGACACAAAGCAGATCGTGATTCCTGGGAGAAATCATGATCAAGATACGTATTAAGGTGTATTGCACAATCACTCTGGATAACGAGCATTAACTTCAAGCAATATTAGTTTATGTCCCTTAGCGAACGTTTGTTGAAAACTCGTACTCTTGCTTTCATTCTTCTGTCTTAACCGTTCTACGTCGACTAACTCGTCCAGGAAGAGAGGCTCGTTTCTCGACGCTCCTTCCGCTCTGCACGTTGCGAGTTTCACTTGAGGGTAATAAGCTCTTGACAGCGAACTTGGATAACACGCGTGCCGAGAAACCGGTCGAAACGCCACAGATGGCCGCGGCGCCGAGGAAGACATAAAGTGGGTAGACGAATAGTATGAGCTTGTACGCAAGGAGCAACGGTACGAAGATTGGAGTAAGAAGGATCTTGAGTGCAAGGATCACCGGCGCCAGGATTGGAAGGAACGGCCGGATGAAGAGAGTGACTGTGTAGAGGAACAAAGACAGGGTATGCTTGATTGGGATGTATACGACCATCGGGAGGTAGATGAAGTACGAGAGGTAGGAGAGGTAGGATAGCAACTTTGAGAGGAGAGCGATAATAGACTTTGATGCGATTAAAATGTTCGTTAAGCTGAGTAGGGCCAAAGTTTCTTCTGTCGTTGATGCGGGTGAATGAGTGGCAGGAGCGCTTGCTTGTTTTTCCGAAGTTGAGTTGCCACTGGTGCCTTCAAGCACACCTACTGGCTGGTATAAGAGGGAAGCCAAGTAGACAATGCTGACTGAAGCTATCACTATAAACCCGACTTCGCCTCGAATGGCCATGTACGTAGCGTCGATGGTTCAAGTGATGTGCAACAGCGACGTGTATGGTGGAAACTTGAAAGCCATGGTTAACATACATTAACTTGTGTCACGTCATGTGCCGTGACATGCCCGAAATTTAAGGCGAATGACGGCGAATGCTTGAAATTTATTGAATTATTCCTGCAATTGCCTGCTTGCGGTCCTCCTGTTTATCAAAAGAGAGCGTCACAGCGCCGCAGATTCCGCTTGGTATAAGTCCAGGACATCGAGTTATTATCGGACTGCATGGCCAGTTATCTCCCCAATCGATTCATATTTTTTCACAACTTACTGTGATGAATCAATAGATATTCTGCTGCAAATGATGCATATCACTGTACGATCATGTCTCCGCGATAATTGGACGACATGTCCAGTCTAACATAGTTATCCATGGATACTCATGGATGAATAAATTTGAGTCGTTGGTATCCCACAATGGTGTCGTCGGCCGTAGCCTAGCCCGTTATGTAGACCGCTCATTTGGTGCCTTCGCGCACATTTTTAGTCGTCCCTGAAACATCTCGTTCGGTGAGTAACAAGTCGCCACTTGCCTCTTGAGTAAACAGGCTGCCCGTCTTCGGCGTGTATTGACATGCTTTGTTAGCCGATGCAGATCTTCAAATCTTTGTGATCGGTGTTTCGAGCATGAATGAGCCCTTAAGGACCTCCGTCTTTATCGCAGGCTAACGCCAAAATCTCTTCGGGCCCCTCCTTGTCTCTTCCCATTCTCTTCCGTTCATCGTAAAGCCACAATGGGCCCACCAAGTCGCTATAATCTTTATTCCACTTCGCGGTCTCGCACTCAATCCTCCCAGGATTGTGTCCCGGCAGAAAATGAGATCGACACAGCTTCTCTTTCCAACGCTGAACTTGCAAAGCATTACTTAAAGTCATTCGCGACTGCCGCCACACCGGAGGAATTCGCTTCAAGAGCAGATGCTGTGCTTTCGAGGAGTGTCAACATCACAATCAACGGCTCACACCTTTCACGAGCTCTGTACGCACAGCAATGGGGAGCTTCCTTTGGAGCAACTGGGAGGATATTCTTTAATGGTGTACTTGAGACACCGAACGTTACAATACCCACGCTGCGTGTGCGTGTTCTTCTGTCTCTCGTTTGATGCTGCAGGACTCCGTTAAATTTCTGACCCTGCAATAGAACGCCGCTCTTGTCGGCATCTTATACGAGGCGACATTCACCACGCCCACTGATCGCCTGGGCGCTGTCCATGGGTCGGCTCAACAAGTAACGATCTCGGTTTCATCCACAATAAATCTTACGTACGTTGCCCCCTGTCCTGCCCTTACTTTGTGCCTACACGTAACTTTGCGTAACTGACCCAAAAATTACAGAATCGCCGAGGACAAAACACTTCCGTCTTCTTGCAGAGATCGTAGACGCATCGTTTCCGTAAACCAGGCACTTGTAGACAAAGATGGATTCCTAGTCTTCCCTTTGCGCGACCTATGACACCTACATTGTCATCATGTATAACAATTTCAAGAATTAATTGGATTTCGCCGGGCCACATTGGAACATGTCTCTTGGGCTTAAACTAGTGTATGCAACCGTGAATCAACTCTGATTTGCCAGTTAATGCATTTCTTTTCATGTACAACGCTTTGAGAATGATTAGGGGATATTTTGATTGATGAATTAATGGAATGATTGACTGCCACTGTATGAGATATTCAATAGTAGAGTGCCAAAAACTTGGGGAGTTAAGATTGACGTTACAGTGATAAGCTGAGTCAAGAACCATCCTTCCCAATCACTTGTGTGCCTGAAGAAAACATTTGTGTTGTCTGTGTCCACACAATACACTGTCCATTGTACCTCAAGGATAGAATAGATCCTGTAGCAGTTGCCATTCTGGAACCAATGTTGGTTCACTGTTATCTACCCTATTCAGAACATGCCAAATTTGTGACATACTACCTCTTACTTATTAGTATCCTCTTACAACAATACAGAGTGACTTATTCACAACACTACTGCAAGCTTACTTCAACTAACATGAAGATGCACACTATCAAGTGTAATACAGATTTTTTTTTGCAATTGAGTAATGGAGGCTCATATAAGAATTAGAATGGAAGTGAAAAAATTGTAATTTATATCTATCCTAAGTAGCAAATACTACTATTCACATTGTAAGTTATTTCATATTAAATTAAACTATCATTTGAATATTCCAACACAAGTACTGTATAGTCACATTTATTAGCACCTCAGAATTGTTTAACAGAATGAAATGTCTTTATATTAATATGTTCTTTGTCTTACTATAGTAGAGCTAAATCCCAACTTAATTCACACATGTATAATATAAGAAACTCTAATTATTTTAGGTTGCTCATTAGGCCTGTCTATACTAGCCCATATTCATTTACAGCTTATATAATATAATAAATGTTTATGGAATGCACCACAATATTACACCAGACTCATCTGTCTCCCTGACTCTCTCATCAGTTATTCCTGATGAACAATATATCAACATGATTGCTCAAGTTTCCCTGACAGGACAACTCAGAAGGATGCAATGTCTTGAGGGTGTGGTACAGTGCCCATTGTTTTGCATACTCCAAATATATCTTGTTACTGCAAAGCAATAGCTTACTTTGCATCACACTGTAGTACATCGGGAAAAAGTCTAAAAGGTTATATTACATTATAATGGTGTGAAAAAAGTGAAAAAAGTAAAAAAAGTAATTTACATATTATCGGACCTCGATTTCTGATAAAGTAGTATAACTTTGTATAAGGTACTGTAAGGTTTATGAATGTAATAAAAGTACATAAGGGTAATACCCCTTTTAAACATATAAAATGCATAATATCGGACCTCCCTTTTTTGAAATGTATTGTAAGGATTACCAAGTTTTGAAAGGGTAATATATATTTGTAATGTTTTACAGACTATACATAGTTATTATTCCTTAATAATAATAATTTTCCCTTACATCCATTCATTATTAAAATAACAAAAATCAATTATATTAAAATATTTGTACGATACATCATTATCTACAATAATTAAGGAAAATAAACCGAAGCACATACATAGTGCAGCCTGCGTCAAGATTTGTGCAGAGAGCGAGTGAGAGTGTCCGTGTCTGCTGTGATGCGAATACGAGTAGGTAGAGGTTGGGATCGGACCAGACTCGAGCGGCGAACGAGTGCATTACGGGTGTCGATTGCCAGGCCCATCCCTTGACCAGATCCAGACGGACCACCAGAAAGCGAGGGCATTGAGAGGCTCAACGGTTATGACTGCATCTGCGGTTGACCCGTCCTTGCAAGCACACCGCATCACCCATCTCAAAATCACCAAAGTCTGCCATCTCCACTTCGCGCACGCTACTGCACGTCGTGTGCGGATATCCGAACGGGCAGCCATACAGTGAACTATCGGCGGAGAGCGAGTCGAATTTGCTGTAGTCGTCAGAATCGGCGGTAGATGCTGATGAAGAGACACTCACAGTACTTGTAGTGTATGATGAGCTGCCTCTCGCCTCGTTCTTTTCCCAACAGCATCCGCAACGGAAGAGGAAGGATGTGTTCTCGGGCCGTTTGATGTAGTCTTCATCACCACGCTTTGGTCGTCGCTCGGTCCCTGCAAGTTGAATTGCGTGCGTGTGTGAATTGAGGTCGAGCAGGTTGTGGAGGCTGAGGCTGTGCCTGTGAGACGAGTTTAGAGTGATTAGCAAGTGAAAATAAGAGAGAAAAGGTGGACACACTGTGACAGCGTGCAGCGAGTGTAAGTGGTGCACCGAGGTTGGGATCCGGAGCGTTGAACAAGCTGATTTGAGCAGCAAGCGAAGCCATGTCCGTACGTGCACATCACATGCTCTGACTACGTCTCGCAATTGGAGGTGCAGAGAACTTAGGCGTTGTGTGTGATTGCAAAGGTGTATCTCTGGGACGTTCTGGCTCGAAGGGAGAGGGTGATGTGGGTGATGTGAACGGACTCGGCTCAGGAGGGATAAGCGATGGCCACTGCTTACCTTATTCGAAATGGTGTCATGGACAGCACTGAGGAATGTAAATGTGTGTGGGGCAAATGTGTCAAGAGTGATGTCAAACAAGGATTGTACGAAGGAGTAGAACACGTACAGCATTGAGGAGAGGGTGGTACCATAGGAATGGTTGTACATGAACATTGTCGTGAGTATGCTCGCGTGTGCTCGTCGATTGTTGCTTGCGCTGCAGAGCAGGAAGAAGAACGTGAATACATGGAATTATTGAAGAAGTCGTTCAGCATTGGTCAACAATGCGGAAGCGCGAATGCGAATGCAAAAAGGAAGAGGAACGTGAAAAAAAGGAGGATAACGAAGGAGAGGCAACGCAAGCAGCAGAACGAGGAGCAGAAGGGATGGAAGGGAGACAAGAAGTTGGGAGGAGAGGGATGAGCAACTATTGTGCAGGATATTATGAAGTGGACTGGCTGCTTACTGCTTTACGTTGAAGGACAGTGTGGTCAGCTCAGTGGCACAACATGGGATCTGAGGCTCTGTACAGGCACTGCAACAGTAGATTGGAGAGACGAGTTGCAGCAATGTTTATTATCTGTGTTGTTGCACTCAGAGTACCTGCTAGAGGACACTTGCAAGCAAAGGACTAAAGCAACAACATAGTGTCAGGGCAGAGGGTTAGACTTAGAGAGATGGTGGAGGTTGGAGAGAAAGAGCGACAGCTGTAAGTGCGTCATTATATGCTCTCGATCTTCAACGTTGATTACGTAATCGAAGTTCGTGATAGTAGCGAAGCTGTAAAACAAAACCAATATTACATTTAGATGCAAAAGGAAAGCATTAATTTACTTTATGATACAGTTGATAGCAATCTGACATGTCTATATTGCTTTTAGCACACTAATATAAGTTTTACAAGTATCTGAATGCCTTATACAAACAATATAAAATCCTTTACAAGGTGAATTTTAGTCTATCTTCAAAGTTATAATCTAAGTATAATACTTTAGCTTATAATGTAAGGTTATCATAATGTATTTGATGAATTGTAATCATTTGTAACACTTTTAGAGTCTTTATATACATTAATATACCTTATTTTATCCTTATAGTTGTGTTCTAACCCTTACATATGAATTACAATGTATATAAAATGCTAATATTTCTTTAAATGGACTGTAATTCATTATATTTAAATGGACTTTTTCCCGATGTAATCTCATTCAGAAGAAGTCATCTACTCTATTCTGTATATTTCTTCAAGGCATTCTGGGAGTTTTCTAGTACCACCTACAATAACATTAACATTCTGCTGAATATGTATAAGCATTTAATCCAGCACATCATACTGGTTTGTTTCGACTGTTACTCCGTCTCCTTCATATCATCGTCTGAGTCGTATTAATGGCAAATTACCAGTACTCTTCTGTATATTCTCACACCCCTGAAACATTGTACGGACAGCAAAAGTCAAATGATTTACAGGGCCTGAGACCTCTCTTTTCCAATGACCCGAACGGTCCAAAGTTCAGTCCCAAGTGGTTGTGTGGAAAGGATAGTGCAGGAAAATACATACCGCGTACTTTGAAAGTAAAGCATGCATTAGATAAGGGGTCATTTGCCATTGCGTGGGTGTGTACTCTAGACTGTCCCTCATTGTTTCACTGCAGAAGCATTATTGACGTAATTAAAATGCAATCTTGACCAGGTGATAGAACGTGATGACCTTAGAGAAGACAAACCTGTGGAGTTTGTTGCCAAAGTAGTCAATAAAAGAAGGGGGCCGAGTATGGTTCGGAGGAGAACTGATAAGGAAATTAAAGAAGCGGAGGAATTGACGATCAAAGAAGTGAGGCTATTGGCAGATCTGAGGCACAAGCATGTGGTAAGCCGACCGTTTGCAATGATGTGTATACGAGGTGATAAGTATTTTAAGGTGAGGTGTTACGGAGCGTTTGTGAACGACGAGTCGTGGGTAACGATTCTGGAATATGCTAGGGGAAAAGATCTCTTTCAAAGACTTAAAAAAGTGGCTTATTTCTCTGAATGGGTTGCAGTTAACTACATAAGGTGCACATTTTAATTCGGGCTCTGCAGGACTCATCACATCTAATTTGTACTTGAAGACAGATGTTTGACGCAGTAGCATTCCTACATTCAAAGAATATAATGCACAGAGACATAAAGTGAGCTATCAATTGAGATTGAGTCTTTTACATGTGGCAATTTAACACTGTTGCCTCCAGACTACAAAACTTTCTTATAAAAGGTGAATGTAATCATACTAATTATATTGAAGACAGGCTTTTACTAAGCGACTTCGGATTGTGGGTACAACTTCCATTGTCTTTTGACGTTTGCAACAACTCTTCCAAGTGCTGCTTACAGTGAAAAGAAATTGGGTCAAAAGAAGTGTGGGTCACCAAACTTTGCTGCCCCAGAACTCTTCAGACTGTGTCCTAAGGACATGTATTATGGAGACTCGGTTGATATCTGGTCGCTTGGGTATGTATTCATCTTCAGTGTTCACTGTAGTAATACAAGCTAATCCTTCTCAGGGCAAATGCATATCTACTTCTAACTGGGAACTATATTTATGGCAATGATAAAGAGCTTGTGTTCTATACAGCAAATACTATTACCAATGATAATATAAAATGGCAGTTGGAGCAAAATTTTGTAACTAAAAGAGGTGAGCTAATATAGACAGACTATAAATACAGTTATAGACATAATACTGAACAAATATTTAGCACAAGAAGTTTTGCTTAATTGCTTGAACATTGATCCAATAAAAAGAAGATCAGTACCTGCAAAAGACCTTCTAGGCCATAAGGTTAGATCTTAACTGTATGGACATTTGAACATACAGGCTCATACTTACATTCTTGCTTGTAGTGGTTCAAATGTTGTGATGACAAGCACCTGGACCACAATGCAATGAAAAAGTGGAAGGCAGGTTTGATAGCACTGAGGGCACTGAATTCTGTTGCCGAAAACCTATACGAAAAGAAAATTTCAGGCAACATACACAATCCACCAACTAGCATATCTAACCAAAAAAAATTAGACCAGAAGCAGGACCAACTTCCACTGAGACTAAAAAATACAGAGACAAGTAAACCGAATCACAGCAGAAGCAGAGGTTGAAGGGAGTAAAATTTTGCAGCCTTGATACTGCTCAATAATAGAAGAAAGTGGGAGTATTTCAAATACTCATGTTTTGAGTATCACAAGTATACATGTCTATACATATCTAGTGAATACATGAATGTAGTACGTATTATGTACATATTTATCATATCAACAGACGTTTGATGAGAATAGCTTACATAGTATCTTACATATTCTGACGGACTGCTAGTTTCTGTTAGAAGACAGGCTTCATCCCACTTTCTGTTAAGATAGACTGTTGCCGGCTCTGCTGTTGTCTTCCAAAGTTTGGGTAATTTGGCCAGACATAATTGAAATATTGAATATTCAAGACATATAACAAAGTAGACGCTTGTTTCCTATTCTGAGTTATCCTACAGACTGCATGTAAAATGGTTTATCTACGTCCTGACTGGTTAGAAAATTACATTTCATTGATGGAGGTAGCTAATAAAAGACAATGAAACATAGAGATACTCATGACGTGGAAGCCTCTTACACTGCTATAGAAGCTGAACAAATGTGTTGCTCAACTATTCTAATCGGACAGGTAACGTGGCGTCATTTCCCTTGGGGTAAAGGTAGTATGACTAATACATGTTGAGAAATTATGTCATGACCCTTTATATCTGAGCAAACTGTCTCGAGAATATCTTTTAAATAACAACTCTTCTGTCAGTGGACAAGCCTTGTGTCACAGTTGTGCAGAACGTTATTATCAATGCAAATAAATCCACCAAGATTTGCTGATATTGTCCCTCTCTATATAAGTGATTCAAGGCACCCTAAAGTTGCTGAAGGGTGAGATACTAGTGAAGACACAAATAAGTAGAGATTCGATGCACAATACAGAAGAATATGCTATTTTTATTGGGATGTAATACCGTAGAAATTATATCGTCTTTGAAACAGATATGATGTGAGCTATTGTACAATAATTGATCAGTCCCGGAGTAGCTCAATTCTAGAGCACGAATATTAACTATCTTTATGCAATAACTTCCAAGATGTTGAGAGGTCGTTGACGATCCGTATCAGGCAATCAAGTTTACAAACAGATTCTACAGCAGAGCGCAATGTCTCAGGCACTGACTGCTGGTCTCGATGGTACAGTCGGATGGACACCTCAGCAAGATACTCTGAAAATGAGAAAGAACACTCGTCTAGTGTGTTTACCTGTAAATTTGACAGCAGGAGTAATCTCGTAAGGGAATTTGATTAGATGGATTATAAAATACATGCAATAACGAGAACAAAACTTTCCGGCATCAAGGTCCGCCAGAAAGAGCCAAAATTTTTGCGCTAGCCATTTCGGCCATCGCCATGACCGCACCCTGAGGGTTGCCCATCATAAGGGCAGGAACTATTGAGGCGTCAACAACGAACTAAAATTATGCGCCAAGGGTTATCAGCGACGAAGATAATGCGAGCAATGCATAAACGTACCAGATTGTCCGTGTTCATGACTCGTGCATTTTCATCGACTACTTGTCCGATAGAGCATGATCCGACCCAGTGATTTGAGCCTAAACTGGACGCTGGGTAGTTGTTGACATAATCGGTCAAAGTTGTCGTGTTATCGGGAGTAATGAGGGTGAGTCCCGATACTAGTCACAGTAGGCCACGTTAATTAACTCGCTTCACCAGAGTTGAAGGGGGACGAACCGTTGCTAGCAGCATTGATTATTTCTTGAAGACCTTGAATGAGTGCTGTCTTGTCAGCTGGATCCGTGAACCAGGGGTTGGTCAATGCACCAGCTCCCAACGCAGAACTTGTCAGGCCAACACGTCCGCGCGAAGTAGTTCCAGTTGAGCTACACAAATTATTAATAATTGCTGACAAGATGGCTTAGGAATAAAAGATTCGTACAGGTACATAGTAATTGAGAATACTTGGCTCGAGTTGTATGGGTAATCCGTGGTTACCGAGTCGAATCCGGGTCTAACTGTTCCTTGTACCTAGAAACAAGTCAGGGCAATATCAAATATGAAATGAGTCACTGCATGTACATATCGCGTTTTGCCGTCTGAACCGGTCAGAGCACGCCAAAAGTTTACTCGGGGAGAGGAAGATGCAAAGACGCCTGTCTGAGAAGCGAGGTATTGAGCTGCATCGGCAGGCGGAGGGTCGTCCCAAATATCAGCCCAGTTGTCGTATGAATCGATACTTGGATGTGTGAACATCAAATTAATGCTTGGATTGTCCTGAACGTTGTTACCGACAGGCAGATTGATAAAATCGCTCTCCGGCGGTAAGAATGGTGCCGCGGCGGTATTGGCCTGCACCAGCGAGATCATATCCGAAGGTCCAATTCCGGACTGGAAAAGAATCCGTGGAGTACCGAAAGAACCTGCCGCAAGGATAACACGGCCGTTCGGGTTTAGGGGGATGAATCCATTGGGTCCAATGGCAGTGTTGTTGGTCTGCACGCCAGTGATTGTAGACCCATTGCGTGCGACAGAAGAGACAACCGTATACAGCTCCATCCTGAAGTTTGAGCGTTGGGATGCTGTCTGCAGATACGTTGCTACTGGACCCCAACGTTTACCATGTTGGAACTAGTGAATGATTCATAGCCGTCACACAAATATGTTTGAATGATGAGGACATACATTATATGCACTGTAACCATAAGCGTGGTCTTTAAATTCGACGTTGTCATTGAGTGTGATTTGCGAAAAGCCCATCGGATTCAGTATTTGTTGCATAACGCCCATCTGCGACTGGGTAAATACAATAACATAGTATTGCGATTGGCTCTTGACATACCGTCTGATCGAGGTACCTCACGCCATCAGGTGAAGGATTGTCGGTAGACGGGAGACGAGCCATCAGTTTTGCAGAGTATGGTCCAATGTTCGTCCAGGAGGAGGGCCATCCACGAGCAGTAGAGAAATCCTCAGAAGTCGGGTACCAGTAAAGACTAGCTCGTTCATTAGCAATGTCACCCAACCTGCTTGCTTTGCCCACTCACGCTCCATTGATAGAAGTTCCTCCACCAACGAGACAGCCAGCGAATGTGTTTATATCTGTGTATGAATATATTAGAAATAATTTTCAAGAAAATTTAATAAACTGGACGAACCTTTGCAGAACCAATATGTTGGTCCACTGCTGCCAAACATAGCCTGGAACTCTCCCGGGATGTCAAAACGAGTGAACTATAAACGACTTAAATGATATCCCTCTTATTCGGGCTCGCAGGACTTACGTCTGTACCATTGGCCCAGGGTGGCACATCGGTTCCACCAGTTTGTCCTGTACTTGGCCCACCGCGCTCAAGCAATATGACAGACTTCCCTTGCTCGGAAAGGCGATCGGCTACAACTAGTCCGCCAGCACCAGCTCCAACTACGATGTAGTCGTACGGCGTCGCGCTTGCCACTGGCGTGGATGTGGTGCTAGTGGATGTGGTGCTTGTTGTTGTCGGAGTCGTTGTCGGGGGTGCCGTCGTAGAGGAAGAACCCTGGCCCGTTAGGTAGATGTCATAATCATCCGAGTGTGCCTGGTTGGTGAGTTCTCCCCAGAAACCGACTAAAAAAGGCCTATTGTAAGTTCTCTATGGCTGCAAATGAATAAAGAAGCGAACAGTCGTCATGCTCATTGAAGTTTGTATCTATATCCGAAGGGTCATCGACTGCAGTAAGACTGATAACCCATGCAAATACGGGGGTGCCATTTGTATCGAAGCCGCCGTTTGTCCAAGTTGTACAATTCTGGCAGCGATAAATTGCTTTCCAATGTGTTGAGTTTACCGAACTCGAGATGGTCGTAATAGTAGGGCCATCATACACCACCGGTTGAATGTAATCGCTGAAAGAGAATGAAACTTAGTGATGCACACCAATAAAACGGGAGTTGACTTACGTTGCCCATCGAGGCGAATACATGATTTCATTGCCATTTGGCCAAAGGACAAGCAGGAGCTACCAAAAAGGATCAGCTTCGAGAAGTAGCTTCGGATTTAAACTATATTCACGTCATCAACCATTTGTCCGCCAAACGCAAGTCCCACCCATTCGTTTACAACTGGCACGATGACCTCGCCAATAAACTCATTGGCCTTGCTGGTATCGGTTGTAGGTGGGAAAACGAAACCATATGTAACACTGTGAGTCGGGTCCGTGATACCTTGGAAGGTGATGCCCTGGTCGGTGTACGAGTTTGACTGGGCAAGCGCTACCAAGACGAAAATACGAGCTGTTAGAACTGGCACTAACAAATTCATTGCACGTGGACGAGACAAACCTGCGCCGGCCATGCTGGCCAATGCCAGGAGGCGCTTTAAGATGGCCATGGGCTGCTTTGAGGCGCTGAAGGGAGCTGCGGATCGTATATAAAGGTTTTCAGTTATAACCGGATCTCCAGGATCGGGGCAAAACACTCAACGAATCAGAGCGTAAAAGTCTAGCTACGACAGGAATGGTCTCGTGTCCCAATCCAAGACGCGTACGGAGATCTTTTGCGGGCACCACTCTCGCAGTTTCACCGAAATGCATGTCCAATGCAACTACGCACACTTGTCGCGCATATATGCTCGGGAATACATCTGCACAATACAGGGAAAATCTCGAACCTATCTCGAACCTAATTTGTTGCATTCGGCCGTATTTAGAAGGTGTCTTTCTGTCTTCTTGATTCACTTTAAGGCGACTGTGCCAGCTTACGCTGGACAAACATAACTATGCGCAAGGTATAGCTCACATTTGTATTGATGATGTTGCACTTTCCGCAGCACTGTTTAGCCGAACAAAGGTCAAAGCAAGAAATGGTTCTTGGGACTAGACCGCATCCGCGTGGTTCGGTTTCCGTCAGCTAGGTCCGATTTCGTTTGCTTATCTTCCTGCGGTTCATCTCGAGGCGGAGGCGTTTCTTCGGAACTCCTGCATATCGTTGAATTGTTAGTCGCGAGCACGCCAGTTGCCAGCACATGAAACCAGGGATGTGCCTACAAAATCAAATCCGACAAAAGCTTGGAACTTAACAAAAGCGTCAAGCGACAGGACAAGGAGGCCAGACCAACGTTGCCTTCAAGACGTACAACCTTACGAAAGAATGGTTGAATGCATTCTTCCAAGAAATCCAAGCCACTGTATCAGCAGAAAAGATCTGCCTTCGACGGAGAAAACGTGCTTACGTGGCATGACGCCTGTTAGCGTATAAGCCGGACCTTGCTTCTATTCCTGCCCGCGGGGTTTCATCCTTGTGAGCCTAAGTCACTTTCCCCACATGAGATCACTGGTCATCCACAATTAATGCTCCTGCTTGACACGAAAGCACATGCGTAACCGAAAAATCAGCGAAGAATGATGTTACCGCGCCTATCTTTGGCCGAATCGTGCGAGATAAAAATGTCCTTGTGAATATAGCCGACTCGATATAATTAGAGTAACTACAATACGTTTACTTCAAAGGACGTCAAGAGTGGGGAAGGAAGGAGAGAACAGTGGTTACCATGTCTATCACATCCGAGGGACAAACCCATTGATTATGCATTTCCTGAGTTACGATGTTCGCGAAGCTTTCGCTATAATTTATTCCCACGCTGGTTCTTGCACTCAATGGTCCTAGTCTCCTAGACTCCTAGCCATTTCCCGCCCAGGCCCTCAACTGCTTCATTAAGTGAAACTGGAGCTCTATTCACCGATAATCCGCCGCTGATATATTCAGGTGGAATATACTAGCTTAGACCCACTGACTTGCAGAGCTCCAGAAAGTACCAAGGAATTGGAGCGCTGAGTCGCTGACCCCAAATGCGATATGTTTATGGCTCCCAAAAGAGCGATACCGCTGGTATAATATATTATCACGCTTTTCAGGCACTTCAGTCTGTCAGTACTTAACAATGAAGCACTCACGATGACATCATGGTGTGGGCAGAGTGCAAGAATAGTTGCTGAGTCGACTTTTCTGGACCTTCTTTGGGACCTTCGGTTTGTGTTTGCTGCGATACCACGGCCATATCATTCGGACAGCAGAGATTTTGTAGAATAAAACTCATTTTCGGGTACTGGCAGTGTAGTGCGAACAACGTTAGCCAAACACTAGAAATGAAATCAGTAGGGTGAAAACAAGCCTTGCTTTGCCTGGGACAAATATAATCACGGTTGGTGTTTAACACCTGAATGAAGAGACAGCTGAAGAATGGAGATTGGAATTTCGCTCTTGCGGGAGGGATGGATATCTGTCAGTATTCAACATCTACAGAGACTAATGTTGATAATGGAGGTACACCGATGAACCGAGAAGCTCCAGTCTGTCAGAGCTGGTCTTCCGTTTCTCAGATCCACAATCATTCTCTCATCACGAACACTCAGTGGAATATTGTTCTCGAAATTGCTTCAAAAGCGCTCGGGCTTACACATCAGACATAGCAAGGAGATATATTCCAGTGGTATTCTGTGCCAATAGCAATGAGTATCCCAGATGACGTATTGTAATAGCCGCTGCTAATCTTGTCCGGCCTGTGAACTTACTCCGGAACGTCGTCAAGCTGGAGCACGGTTTTCAGGCCTGACAATATTACAAGCGTGCTGGATGTTTGAAGCCTGTCGATTGAGATGGTATCTTGCAGTAACTGATCAAAACCACTCTTTCTGTCCTCTCTTGAACACAAGAAGCTGATGTTTTGGAATGAACAAGAACGGTTTTTCTTTACCTGCCGAAAGTCCTTGACCGATTGACAGGCAAGACCTGGTAGCTCATTCATAAATATTATTTCTTTTCCAATGCAGAGAAGATTCAAGGGACGAGGAAACTGTGATCCGGACATACTCTGATTGTAATCTGCCTTGTTGCAGTTGTCCTAAGTACCTGTGCATGGATGAAGAAAGTCAAATGGCAGGATGACATTTCCACATAGGGACTGGCACGGTTACCGCCGCAGAAATCTGCAATCCGTACTACAGATAGAGCCATCCGCAGATGAAATTCACACGGTAACCGCAGAAACCGCGGTTGGACGCTTAGCACGGTTAAAAAGAAAAGGGTTACTAAATGTGTTTGATGATGTGACTTTAGTCACAAATGTGATGCTTTACACTAATTACATACAAGTCATTGTGAGAACTTGCTACCTTTCAAAGTTAGCTTTGTAGTATTTTGCAGTCTTTCGCGTTGACCTGTCTTAAAGTCTTGTTCCATTCTGAACAAGGTATTGTACCCCTATAAAGGCCACCCATCAATGCAAATTGCCTTATGATACCAGTGTAAAGTCCTTCAGTGATTGGGCTACTAGGCAATTATCTTTAAAATCTACGTTTTGCATACATCTTCACCACACTTTTTCGAGGGTTCAATGTTTAGCTACCAACTGTGCCAAAAAAAAACATGTCTAACTAAGATAACCTCACTACTCCCGAAACTCACGTAAAATGCAAACACTCTGCCTTGAGCCCCAGGGTGCTCTGTGACTTTGCAAAGCACCATACAGTCTGTCAAGTGTTGATTTATATCACACATCGATTGTATCATATTCTTTTTTGAGGGTAGAGCCACACTCAGTAGTGTAAGAACATAACAATCTTGTATAGGGGTAGACTTTATACGCGGCTGTTTGAGAAGAAATCCCTCAGATCGGTTAACTGCAGTAGAGGCGTGTCAGTGGCTTCAGTCGGTGCGTAAAACTCTATAGGCTTTGGCCTTTGGAATGAAATTGTTGTGATACGTAATCTTTACGTGTCGTGTACAGTGGTCAACCAACTTAACAGCACAAACGAGCCAGATACATGTGAAACCGTCAACAAGCCAGACCAGTAGGAAGCGGACTTCGAGTACATGTGATTCTAAGCATAGTAGACGCGCAAAACGCAGAACAAGTTCATCAACACAAGGGTAGATTACTGCCTCATGTTAGGACACAAACATTTATTAGTATATATAGTGTGGACCAGGTGTCAAGCCAAGCTTGACATTGCACCCTTTTGGTGAAGAGGTTCTATGTATGGTCCACTATATATGGTAATTCCTCACATAATGTCAAGCTTAGAGCAGTCAGGGGTTCGATCCTGATGTAGGGTTGTCTGTGAGCAAAAGTATTAGGCTGAGAATAAGCTTCCTAAAAGGGGGGGAGTGAATTTCTCGGTTGCTTGGAATACTGGGGCCAGGACTCTATATTAGGATATCTCTCCCTACCTCTAAAGGCTGTCAAGGTTAAGCTAGAAATAGTAACCCTTGGGGTCAAACTCTATATACTGGTCATGTGAGGACACATGACTCTAGAGAGGAGAGTAATGTTAGGACACAAACATTTATTAGTATATATAGTGTGGACCAGGTGTCAAGCCAAGCTTGACATTGCACCCTTTTGGTGAAGAGGTTCTATGTATGGTCCACTATATATGGTAATTCCTCACACCTCATCAATATGGAAAGAATTAAAGAGAACCAGAAACTTCTTATTCACTTGTGGTTAGAACTGTAGTTATGTAGCACTTCATGTAAGAAGTTGCAATATTTACTAAGGGATTCTGAAGGACTTACCTACTTTGGACACGCCAGGGCATACCTGGTCAAAGAAAGTCGGAATTGCCGAGGTTATATCTTGTCTACCATAAAGCTGCCTTATAGCTAGCGCATTTTTCCACTCCTGTTGTGGAAGAAAGGAACAAAACACATGGTAACCAGTCAGACAATAGAATGTGACCATGCTACCATTGTGTTAGATATTCCAAGTTCAAGTCGATTTTTTTTAGGGTTTTTTAGTGTCTATACTAGACACTAATCTACTCACCCAATAGACCATATATCAACTGGTTTATCAAAGCCAGCAAGGTAGGTGTCTGGAGCTGCATACTCAACTGTCCCTGTAGGAATTGCTACTTCCTTCCTACTGTCCCACACTGACCTGTGAAATATTTTAAAAACAATAGACCAAGAAAAAATCTGACATCTGAACAGACATTCCAAAGTCGCATAGTAGTATTGAATCGTCAGTTGTAGGGATAGGCCTTTTCTTACTATTTTTTATTAGGATATTTTCTGGCCTATAATAATATGTACTGTAAATTTAGCAATATATGTTATTGTGTTACTTACTTTAAATCTCTGTGAATTATTCTTTTCTCATGTAGATATGTGACTGCACCGGTAAGCTGTCTTTCATTTTATATTACAATGTCAGGAATATGTAATATAAGTACAGAATTGACTTTATACCTTATATAATGAATGGCGACTTCTTCAGGGAATCTGCCGTTGTTAATTAGGGTGTACATATCCCCTCCTTTCGCAAACTGAAAAACAAGAATGTATGCACTTGGGGTTTCATATGCTCCAAAGCACCTCACCTTTAATATCATAATCTGAATCAATACATTACAAAGGACAAAGGCAAAGCAGAACGGAACGTACAATATGATCATGGCGTAGAGGCATCAACAGGCATGCTTCCTGCTTTGTAAACAATACAGTTCGGCTCTTTTGGCTTTCATTTAACGGCCTTCCCTGGGGATCATGATCTTTGTAAATAACCTTTACAGCAAACAACCCTTCTTTCTTCTCCTGACGTACCGCCTAACCCAAGAAACATTACCTATTATTTTACAGAACAGTGCGAAAGTAATGGGAGAGTGTGCATACGAGTATATCAGCAGTGCTACCTCTTTGCAAATACTTGACATATGTCAAGTTGAGCTTTTCAGGGTGCCATTCTGAGTCTTGCTTGGGAATTGTCGGATCACTTATATAGAGAGGAACCAAATCATTTAAAGGTGGTAGAGTGGCGTTGCTTGTAGAAGTAGACATTGACCTCACTGTAAATTTTTAGTTTCTGTTTACAGGTTATTTGTCAAGTACAACTATCTGTGGGTTCAATTTGCAAGCTACAAAGCAAGATGATGGGAAGTGTGCAGAATAGTTAGTTAATCTTTATACACCATTTTATAACACCTCCTTTGCTACTGTCACCTATGGTGCAAGTTTGCACACAACGAGTGCTTAAATAACCGACACGAATGAGGGAAAACGTTTGAGGGATGCTTGTGAAACTAGTGTGAACCTTGAGAAAGTGCAAAGTAGATGGTCATTATTTAAAGTTTAGCTAAATGGTCTAATTGAGTACATCCAAGCGTGCTCATTAAAGGAAAATAGTTACAAAGTCTTGATTTCATTCCGGACCAGGAAAACTGAATCTGTTCTGTTGGCACAGCAATGGATCAACACATAGCTTTTCCCTATCATCAGTATCAAGACAGGCAGATGTACTCGTGGTAGAAGATGCAGCTTCGTAGAGTTAGGTAGTTCTATGTACTTTCTGATGAATGACGCCATCAACTCGAACGCTTATCATCTACATAATCAATGATATATTGAAATGAATTTATTCTGAGCCTCGCACATAAATAGATACAGTACACAAAACAGAGGCAAAATGATAACGGAATGTCGAAAGGGATAAAGCTGAAGTCCAGTTACTCAGCTCTAATCGGCAGAGGAAACCATACGTTACGAGTCTGGACCAGGGAATCCAATGTTAATTGCATCTAATGAGCAGAAAACTAAATATCCATTTCCTGGGTTATTGTGATTGCGAAGCATTCGCTTTAATTTATTCTCACACGGGTTCTCGTGCTCTATGGTCCTAACCACTTCCCATCCAGGCCTGCAACTTCTTCATTAAGCTGAATTGGAACTCTGTTTACCGACAATCCACCATTTATATATTCAGGTGGAATATACTGGCTTAGACCTGCCGACTTGCAGAGCTCCCGAAAGTACCAGGGAACTGGAGCACTGACCCCAAGTATGACTCGTTTATGGCTCCCAAAAGAGCGATACCGCTGGTATAATATATTATTTCGCTTGTCAGGCACTTCGATTTGTTAGTACTTAACAATGAAGCACTCACGATGACATCAATGTGGGCAGAGTGCAAGTATAGTCGGTGAGTCGATTTTTCTGGATCTCCTGTAGGACCTTCGGGTTGTGTCTGTTGCGATACCACAGTCACATCTTTCGGAACAATGTCTAAAATACTTTGCAGCGGAGCCTTTTCAGAATAAAACGTATCCCCGAGTATTGGCACTGTAGTACGGACGAAGTTAGCCGGATATTGGAAATGAGACGGTAAGAAGTATACCTGCCTTGCATTGCCTGAGACAAATGCACTCGCAACTGGTGCTTTAAACCTGAATGAAGGGAGACCCGAAGCAGGGAGAGCGGGACATTACTCTTGGATGAGGATGGACATCTGTTATTATTATTCAACATCAGCGAAATCGATGGAGACACACCGATGAACCGAGAAGTTCCCAATCTGTCAAAGCAGGTCTCCCGTTTCTTTCATCTACAACCGTTCTCTCGTCGCGAACACTTAGTGGGACATTGATACTGCCGCTCGCTAAACTCGGAAAAGACTTCCGCCCTCCACGAACAACTGCTAGATATGTCTTCTTTATAGAGTGCTCTCGAAATTGCTGTAAAAGCGCTCGTGCGTGCACATTGGACTTTGCAAGAAGATACGCTCCTGTGGTATACTATTTTAACAGCGATGAGTTGACCGGCGTAAGTATAATTGCTGCTTCTACCGACCCTGTCCAGCCTATGAATTTGCTTTGGGATGTCATCAAGCCGGAGCTCGGTTTTCAGGTCTGGCAGTAGTATGATATGAGTGTGTTATTCAAATAACGCCTGGTGATAGTGGTGATACCTTGCAGTAGCTGATCAAAACTGCTCTTTTTACCCCATCTCTTGAGCATAATCAGCCGATGGTTTTGAACGGACAAGGAAGTTTTTTCACCTGTTCGAAACCCTTGTCTGATTGACAGACAAGACCTGGGGGCTTATTTAATATTATAATTCCTTTATCAGCATAGAGCAGATATGGGGGACGAAGGTGTGGTCCGGAGGTTGCTCTGGCCACAATCTGCCTTGCTGCAGTCGACCTGAGAACCTCGCGCATCAACGTCAGAGTCGATCCCACTCAAAGCCAGGACGATAATGATATTTCCACACACGTGACGGTGTTAACCTCAGCTTTGGCACGTGATCTTGTGATCCCCTTAGTGCAAACTTCAAGCTTGAGACTGCAGTTGTACAACTCGGCTTGAGAATTTGACCTCCGTCTTGTTCCAATGGTTTTACCAACACTGGTAGACGTTACCTCGCCAAATTCTACCGGGTTGGTCTCCCGTATGTTAATGAGGTCTGATGATTTGTACGCACTGTTAAACTTAGACAAAGCGAATCACTAGCACAATAGTCTTCCAGCGGTTAAGAGATCTTTGGTAAAATTTGCTTTGAGGGGCATCTACATCCGAGTAAAGATCCCTGACGACTTTTTACGCCTACAGCTCCAGAAAAAGCCAAGCATATGTTATTTGTGGCATTGCTGAAACTCGCATTAGTCCTAAATGCAAAGTCCCAAGTGTGCTCAAGCTTGCCACTTAGCAGAGCAACTTATACCTTGTCAGGTGTCAGCTAAACTCACAGATGAGTACTAATAATCGTATTATATTCTTTATTAAAATCAGAGCTACATGTGATTGCAACTTCATGTGTGAAACACAGCACGACACAATTCTGTCCACAAGCTGATAAGCACTCCATATTGTTTAAGTTACAGGCACTTTCAGTCTTTCTTTCGTTCTTTCATTATTGATAAGGTTTACATTGCTGCTGATGAACTTGATCCACGTTTTGCATGCCTCCCACCATGCCCGTGTTCATGTGCAGTCGAACGCCGCTTCCTATTGCTTTGCCTTGATGATGTATGTGTGTTCCTCTGACTCGTTCCTGCAATTATGTCAGCCGACCACTATAGACGTAAAACAAAGGATTTGTCTCAGAACCATCTACTTTCCAATTGCATTAAGCACGTACCAATTGAACTTGCTGATATGCATAGCCTGCAGTTATCCGTGCTATAGGATCTTTCCTTAAGCAACCACATATAAAATCTACCCCTGTACGAAAAGTCACTGTTAAGTACTTATAGTTCAGATAGTATGGAATGCTTTTGAGGACTTACCCACTCCGGATGCCCTTTGCCCAACACCAGCTTGGACTTTTGAAGCTATATCTGCTGATCCTGCTCCAATGTAATAATCCTTTATGTATCGCGTATCTTTACAATACTCTTCTGGAACAAGGATACAGTGCAAATGATAACCAGTCAGGCATAAAAATGTAAGCATGCTATAATTATATAAGATGTGCGAGTTCGAGTAATTATTTAACAGTTTGTTTTCAGAACGAAATATTGAAACAACGATTCACTCACCCTATAGACCAGATATCAACCGGTTTGTCAAATCCTGGAAAGTAAATTTCTGGAGCCGAGAAGTAAGCTGTCCCTCTGAGGACTCCAAGCTCCTTTTCACTGTCCCTTACTGAACTGTAATTATATATTTAAAAAGCACATTAAGGATGAGGCAGTCATTTGCACTTACTTTCCAAAGTCACAAAGTAGTATTGAATCTTCAGTCGAAGGGGCAGGATGACTGTTTTTTATCAAGATATTCTCTGGCCTGGAAAAATTTAAATAAGTAACATAATTTATATTGCAATATTGTAATATTGTATACTTTATATCCTTGTGAATTATGCCCTTTCCATGCAGATATTTAACTGCATCAGTGATTTGTCTTTAATTTTAAACCCTAATGTCAGCTACAAGTAATTTAAGTTCAGAATTGACTTCATACTCTATATAATGAGTAGTGACTTCTTCAGTGAATAGACCTTTTTCAAGTAAGGAGAACATTTCTCCTCCTTTAGCAAACTGACAAAGAAAAATGTATGCATTTGGATCTTCATATACTCCAAAGCATCTTATCTTTAGTGTTGTAATGTAAAAAAATAGATCACTAGGAATAAAGAAAAGATAGAATAGAACATACTATGTGACTATGATGTAGAGGCATCATAAGACGTGCTTCCTGCTTTGCCATCAACGCAGCTACTCTCATGCCCGCATCATTAAACTGTCGCCCACGTGGATCATGGCCTTTGTAAACAACCTTCATAGCAATCAATTCGCTTTTTTTATCATTTCTACAAAATTCCTACCCCAAAGTCGTTACACATTATTGGGCTACAAAGTACTAAAATTATAGGATGGTATACATACATATAAGTCAGCAGTAGCACCTCTTGCAACATATTTCACATATGACAACTTCAACTCAAGATTGTTAGGGTTCCACTCCTTGTCTTGCTTCGGAATTGTTGAATCATTTATATAGAGAGGGACCAAGTTATCCAGTGAAGGAGGTGGGGGTACACTCAAGGAACTCGACATTGATTTGGCTGTAGACACTTCAGGCCTATTTGTCAATTGAATTATCCTTTAAAGATATTCTTTGGCACTGATCTGCAAGGTACAAGTTGAACACAAGTCCCTGAGGGATACACAGAACAGATTGTCTGTCTGTGTGTTTCAACTTATGATAATAATATCTCTCCTTTGCTAACATCACCATCAGTACAAGAGCTTGTTATAGTTATATTATTTGTGCATCATTGTCAGCATGAATATTCTCAGTAAAATTTTTCGTTTGCACATCATCTCACTGTACTATAACAAGTACCTGTGATAGGAATATTCATTTTGTTTTGCATGCCATCAACATTATTGTAAGGACGACTCCTTAAGTAATTGATGTATATTTGAAACAATGTTTGAGGTATCTGGAAGACATGTGTCAGCAACAGTGTAGAGGGGACCCAAAGGCTTAGTGAGGGGACCCAGGCTACAACTATCCTACACAACAGAAATACAGAATGCAAGCACTGGAACATAGTCAGAACTTGCAGAACAGGTGGAGAGAGAGAGTGAGACAAGAGTAGAGTATATAGAGTGAGCCTAAGAGTACAGGACTACCTGGAGTAGACAAGATCAAGACTACAGGACTAGTCTGATCTTGTACACCTATATATACTAAACTACACAAGAGTACTCAGGGAGTATGAGCCACTTAAGAATGATAAGCTATGAAGAATGAAAGAAAGGAATGTTAAAGATAAAGGTACAAAGAATGAAGGGATGGACAAAGGGTAAGAGACTATAGAATGAACAAAGAATGAAGGGGTGGTCAAAGGAATGGAATGATGAAGTAAGGAAGGGTAGTAGTAAGAGTCAGTATACATATAGTCTATAGACAGTGCTCCTGAGGGACAGAAGTCCTGAGTTCTGGTACAGAAGGGTGCAGAACCCTCAGAACTGAAGGTATGAGAGTAGAGAACTGTAACATCACCCCCCCTCTAAAACCAATCATCCTAATTGGTGAACATTGGGCTTGGTCAGCAGCTTGAGTATAGGTCAGAATGGTAGGGTTTGGAAATCTGTGAGGCAGAGTTAATGTAGAGCACCTGGATAAAGTTGATAAAAGTCTTAGATTGCCTTAGTAGTATGGGTGAGATTCTCAGCAGGTTTCTAAGTACATTCTTCAACTAGGTATCCCTTCTAGTAGATAAGGAACTTGAGCTTTCTACACACTAGCTTAGTATCTACTATATACTCTACTTTGTATTCTGGTTTAGAACCAATGAGTTCTGGTAGAGGTAGTAAGAGTCTTTGTTGTGAAGGAAAACTCAGATTGTAGTACTAAGACAGTAGAACCTTGTTAAACACTGGGTGTATACACTTCTATGTTGCTAGAAGTTAGAGTTTGTAGGTAGAGGTACTGACCTTCTTTTTAATAACAAAGGGTTCAAAGTACTTGTTGTCCAACTTCTTCATTAGGCAATCCATAGTTAGTGTTACAGTTCTCTACTCTCATACCTTCAGTTCCAAGGGTTCTGCACCCTTCTGTACTGGAACTCAGGACTTCCGTCCCTTGGGGGCACTGTCTATGAACTATATGTGTACTGACTCTTGCTACTACCCTTCCTTACTTCATCATTCCATTCCTTTGACCACCCCTTCATTCTTTGTATCATTCTATAGTCTCTTACCCTTTATCCATCCCTTCATTCTTTGTACCTTTATCTTTGACATTCCTTTCTTTCATTCTTCATGGCTCATCATTCTTAGTGGCTCATGCTCCCTGAGTGCTCTTGTGTAGTTTAGTATATATAGGTGTACAAGATCAGACTGGTCCTGTAGTCTTGATCTTGTCTACTCCAGGTAGTCCTGTACTCTTAGGCTCACTCTATATACTCTACTCTTGTCTCACTCTCTCTCTCTGCCTGTTCTGCAAGTTCTGACTACGTTCCAGTGCTTGTGTCCTGTATTTCTGTTGTGTAGGATAGTTGTAGCCTGGGTCCCCTTGCTGAGCCTTTGGGTCCCCTCTACACTGTTGCTGACATCAGATCAAGACTACCCATTACCACCCTACAACTCTCCTACTTTTTGGGCATCAGTACTTGCTGTTGTGTCAATCTCTTTCCTTTGTCCTGAACCTTTTACATTCTTAAATTTTAAACTTTCTAAACCCTTTTAAACTTTTGCCACCCTTCTTCTATTCATTACCCCTTTTAGTTTAGTGTTGATTCCTTTGTAGTGTAAACATGGACCCTACTATGCTAACTGCCACCCCTGCTGTCCTGCTGGATCAGCAGTTACAAGTAGAGCTAGCTCAATATGTGTAGACCTCCATCCAAGAGGCCTTTGCCAACCATGTGCCCTCAGCCCCTTTGGAACCTGTTCTGGTCGTTCTGGAAGTTGCAACCTGTTCCAGAAAGAAAGTGTATGTAGCCTGCCCTTTGGACTTCAATAGGTAGTACTTTGAGGACTTCCAGCACCAAGTCAAACTATATGTGGCTACTACTTTGACTGATCTATCCTCAGATCTTGATTGTGTCCTATTTGTCCTCTCCTTCATGAAGGAAGGCAATGTAGCTACCTGGGCCTAGAACTGGATTGAAGGTCATTGGATTAGAAGCCTGATCTGACTTCAGAACAATGAGTTGTACTTGGAATTCATGGGGCAGCTCTGTGCTTCCTTCATTGATCTGAAT